TTGCTAGAGCATGCAGGGGTGTAATCAGGAAGGCCAAGGCACAATTGGAGTTGCAGCTAGCAAGGGCTGTGAAGGGTAACAAGAAGGGTTTCTACAGGTATGTTAGCAACAAGAAGAAGGTCAGGGAAAGTGTGGGACCCTTATTGAATGGGGGAGGCAACCTAGTGACACATGATGTGGAAAAAGCTGAAGTACTCAATGCTTTTTTTGCCTCGATCTTCACAGACAAGGTCATCTCCCAGACTGCTGCACTGGGCAACACAGTATGGGGAGGAGGTGAGCAGCCCTCAGTGGAGAAAGAGCAGGTTAATGACTATTTAGAAAAGCTGGACATGCACAAGTCCATGGGTCCAGATCTAATGCATCCAAGGGTGCTGAGGAAGTTGGTTGATGTGATTGCAGAGCCATTGGCCATTATCTTTGAAAATTCATGGTGATCGGGGGAGGTCCCGGATGATTGGAAAAAGGCAAATATAGTGCTCATATTTAAAAAAGGGAAGAAAGAGAACCCAGGGAACTACAGACCGGTCAGCCTCACTTCAGTCCTCAGCAAAATCATGGAGCAGGTCCTCAAGGAATCCATTTTGAAGCACTTGGAGGAGAGGAAGGTGATCAGGAACAGTCAACATGGATTCACCAAGGGCACGTTGTGCCTGAGCAATCTGATTGCCTTCTATGATGAGATATGTGGATATGGGGAAAGCGGTGGATGTGATATATCTTGACTTTAGCAAAGCTTTTGATACGGTCTCCCACAGTATTCTTGCCAGCAAGTTAAAGAAGTATGGATTGGATGAATGGACTATAAGGTGGATAGAAAGCTGGCTAGATTGTCGGACTTAACGGGTAGTGATCAACAGCTCGATGTCTAGTTGGCAGCCGGTATCAAGCGGAGTGCCCCAGGGGTCAGTCCTGGGGCCGGTTTTGTTCAACATCTTCATTAATGATCTGGATGATGGGATGAATTGCACTCTCAGCAAGTTCGCAGATGACACTAAGCTGGGGGGAGAGGTAGATATGGTGGAGGGTAGGGATAGGGTCCAGAGTGACCTAGACAAATTGGAGGATTGGGCCAAAAGAAATCTGATGAGGTTCAACAAGGACAAGTGCAGAGTCCTGCACTTAGGAAGGAGGAATCCCATGCACCGCTACAGGCTGGGGACCGACTTGCTAAAGGCAGTTCTGCAGAAAAGGACCTGGGGATTACAGCAGATGAGAAGCTGGATATGAGTCAGCAGTGTTCCCTTGTTGCCAAGAAGGCCAACGGCATATTGGGCTGTAATAGTAGGAGCATTGCCAGCAGATCGAGGGAAGTGATTATTCCCCTCTATTCGGCACTGGTGAGGCCACACCTGGAGTATTGTGTCCAGTTTTGGTCCCCCCACTACAGAAGGGATGTGGACAAATTGGAGAGAGTCCAGGAGAGGGTAATGAAAACAATTAGGGGGCTGGAGCACATGACTTACAAGGAGAGGCTGAGGGAACTGGGGTTATTTAGTCTGCAGAAGAGAAGAGTGAGGGGGGATTTGATAGCAGCCTTCAACTACCTGAAGGGGGGTTCCAAAGAGGATGGAGCTAGGCTGTTCTTAGTGATGGCAGATGACAGAACAAGGAGCAGTGGTCTCAAGTTGCAGTGGGGGAGGTCTAGGTTGGATATTAGGTAGGTTGACCAGATAGCAAATGTGAAAAATCAGGACAGGGGGTGGGGTGGGGGTAATAGGAGCCTATATAAGAAAAAGACCCCAAAATTGGGACTGTCCCTATAAAATTGGGACATCTGGTTACCCTAATATTAGGAAAGACTATTTCACTAGGAGGGTGGTGAAGCACTGGAATGGGTTACCTAGGGAGGTGGTGGAATCTCCACCCTTAGAGATTTTTAAGGCCCGGCTTGACAAAGCCTGGCTGGGATGATTTAGTTGGTGTTGGTCCTGCTTTGAGCAGGGGGTTGGACTAGATGACCTCCTGAGGTCTCTTCCAACCCTAATCTTCTATGATTCTAAGATATCAGGAAACATAGTGCCAAATGCCGCTCTCAGTCATACTGATGAAGCTTCACAGAAGTCAATGGATTTGCACGTGTGTAAATGAGAGTGGAATTTAACCCCCACCTCCGCAATACTGTTAATCAGCTTCTCATTAGAATCAAGAGGAATGACTATAGCCTCATTCTTTCTTACTTTTACAGTATGTTGGATAAAAGAAATTCACAAATGTCTAGTATTATTATAATCAGAAAAGGCACATTTTTGACCATTGGATACCACACAGAGTTTAGAAAGAAGTAACACTGAACGATAAGTAGCTATCTCTGGGAAATCAGCTTTTAACTTACCCTTATTTTATATGTAGGATGTGGAAATCAGCTTTTAAGCTGCTCTTATTTTATATGTAGATTGTGATTATAACCCTCCAGTAGCAAAGCAAGGCCTACACTAGACATTTTCTAATTTTTAAGATTGCAAACTAGATATCTAATACCTGGGTTTAAGTGGCATAATATGAGGAAGAGTTAGATTATAATAGTTACAACAACAGAATGTTGCTAACGCTTAGACTACACATGTATTTGTGCTGAAATATCACTACACTTATGTAAACAGATCTAGAATGAAAGTCAAGGAATGTCCCCACTGAACTAAAAACTTGGTTTATTTCCATAAGCCAAATAACATTTTCAGGAAACAAACTCTAAAAATTATTGATGTAGAACAGTTTTATTGCATCAACTGCAGAGCTCCACTGAAGAAAACAGAGAGAAGAAACCCTTAGGCCACATTTTGTGTGACCTAATTCTTTCAAGGTTGCATTCTGGCAAATTTTTAGGAATTGACAATATAAATGAACTACAGCTCCCACTGTAATGTTTTCACGGAATCTCTGCATAACTTGCAAACAGCGCACACTGCACCAAGACTACAGTACATAGTTTTTTTGTATGGTTTAATTACTTTTAGATGTAAATGAGCAGAAAAACAATTATCACTCATCCAGCAGGAGAAACAGCTACGCTTCTGTAAATTTCTGGTATTCTAATGCTGAGATTGTCAATTCTAAGTTTCAAAGAAGCTGTAATATAAACTGCAAGGCAGTTAATGGTTAGTCTATTAGATTGTGGTGGAACTGCAGTCAAGACAAATGAAGGAAAAAAGGGGGAAAAAAACTAATACGGTTAAATCCTGATTGGAGCTGCTGGTGCAGAGCTGGACTCAGCTATGAGCTCAGGCCTGTGTCCACTGAAGCTAACCCATTGAGATCAATGGGAGAAGGACCAAGCTCTGTGATTGTGCTAAGCATTTGCTCTTAGTGGATGGAATGTTAGTAGGAACATAGATTAACTTTATCCTAGTGATATAAAATGGTTTCTATATTAGTTCAAGGCAGAACATGCTAATTTCTTCTACATGAGACTAAATGACCAAACCAACAAATGTAGTTTAAGAAAAATAAACACCACGAATTATATAGTAAAAGAATTCACATTTCTTTCATGGGGAAAGTTTCAACTTCCCACCTTTTGCATGGTCACACCGAGCAACACCTGGTAACACTACAATTAGACTCACAGGGTCTGACTGATATGGCCCAAAGGGAGCAGAATCTTCCTGCATCTACCCACCATAAGTAAAGCTGGTAGCGCTGGCTCCTACGTCTCTTCCTGCGGTCCCAGTGTAGGGACAGGGATGGGTGGTGTTCTGACTATTCCCGGGCACAGATACTCCCTTAAATGCAGCTGCCAGCTGCTGTAGATTAGAGCAGCCCCTAAACTAGTCTAATGTATGTCTGGACTGAGAAGGAACCAGGCAGAGAATCAAAAAGCTGCAGCCAACTCTATGATTTCCCTACCCTTTCCTGCACCAAGCAGATCTTTGCTATAGCAAGGAAACTGGCTCTCCTTGTTTTTGGTATAAGCCGGCTTTCTTAGGAGTTTATAGTTCTGCTGTTTTAATTCACACTGGCCTGCCTCTGGATGCATGTTCACAGCAGGTGAATCTGTTTAAATTTAACAATGGCTTTAATTGGCTAGGCTGCATTTTAGTTAGCATATCAAAAATACTGCACCTTCAGAAACTAAAATATTGAGAGTGTTTATGCCACTAGAATTTTTTATAACTTGATCTTTTATGAAGTGTAAAAGTGTAAAACATAATAATATCATAATATTTCACCCCAATAATTATTTATAGACAATTCACAATAGTTTATCATCCACATCTATTGCAAGAGATGTGGGTTCAGCATCTCATCTGGAAGAGTTTATAAACCCCCGAATGATGAACTCATATTAGAGGCAATAGATATGGACAACAAAACTAATATGAATTGTCCAAAAATACATATTGTGGTGAAATACTACATAGGCAAATGTTCAATTTTCACCCACAGTCAGTTAAAATGGAAAGAGAAACATACCTAATGTTATATATGGCAGACTAGCATTTTTAAATAATTCAAATGCCAGAATCCTGTATAATACAGCTTTTCTATTTAAAATTGTGCATAAGGTTTACTGGTAGCATCTTAATAGGGGATAAGTGTTTGGTTAGCTGGTATTTTAAATGCTGTATATATGTTCACTTAGATGTTACAAATGAGTAGTGGAACACTATGTACATTTCAAATATGTTTCATAATGCAGATTATAAATGTGGTCTGGACATCAATTATGCACTCATTGATTCCTTCCTTCCTATTACTTAATCACTGTGGTGCCTAGGCAGCAATACAACTTGATAAAGGATCTTCTGGGTGAATCATAATTCTGTAATTCTATTCATATATTGAAAGACCAAAGGACCCAATGTGATGTCCATGTAGATTTTTTTTCCTTTTAAATTCCACAGTTAAAAATAGGGGCATAGCAGAAAATCCCTTTGATAAATAATATTAATAGTTATATGCATAGGAATATTTCTGATGGTAGAAACTGTGACAGGTTGTGGTCTCAATTGCCAATATTATGCAGGTCATACTCAGATATACTTCTCCTTTACCTCTAGCACAAAGAGCACCATCTTCCAACTATCCTAATGACTGGCTGAGATCAGCACTTTGATGAAGGACAACTGCTTGAATCTGAATCTGGGCATGATAGAGCTAACATCAGTGGGAAGATGAAACCATGCTGAAGAGCTAGCATCCTTCATCCCATCACCTGAAATGGAGAGTGTCTACCCTCAGATAACCAAAACAGTCTACAACCAGAGGATTCCTTTGGATTCCTCAGTGTTGCAGGCATAGGTGCTGACTCCGTGGGTGCTCCAGGGCTGGAGCACCCATGGGGAAAAATTGGTGGGTGCTCTGCACCCATTGGCAGCTCCCTGCCCCAGCTCACCTCCGCCTCCTCCCCTGAGTGCGCTGCTTCTCCCCCTAGCTCCCAGCTCTTGCCACTGCCAAACAGCTGTTTCGCGGCGGCAAGTGCTGGGAGGGAGGGAGAGGAGGGGGAACACGGTGTGCTCGGGGAAGAGGCGGGGCCGGGGTGGGGATTTGGGGAAGGGGTTCAATAGGGGGTGGAGTTGGGGCAGGGACTTTGTAGAAGGGGCTGGAATGGGGGCGGGATGGGGCGGGGCAGGGGTGGAGTCGGGGCGGGGGGCACCTACACTTGCAGGATGCTCTAATATCTAGTTATGCAAAATGCTTTCTTCCACCTGAGACTGGCTAGAAGGCTGCGCCATATCCTGCTGGACTATGACTTCACTATGGTGATCCATGGGGGTGATCCACATCTTGGAAACTTCCAGGCTGGATTACTGCAACTCACTTTCCCTAGCTATGAGCACAACAATTTTTTAAAACCTTTGATTATCCCAGAACAGAGTAGTCCACATCCTCAGCAATTATCAGCCTCACCTTATTGTTCCCCACCCCACTAGATGGGATCCCCACTGAATTCCAGGCCAAAGGCACATCAGTCCTAAGCCCTTCATGGAATTGTTCTTAGGAATTTTAAAGAACATCTTCCTCTCTGTGATGACAATCTCCCTCAGCTGCTACATTTCTCATTAACTATGAACTCAACAATTAACTCAAGGGTGAAGCTCAGGAAAGCAGGAGACAGGTCTCTTTTAGAAACAGGACAAAAGTTTTAGAACTCACTACCAGAAGAAATTACAATGACCACAAATCAAGTAACAAAGCAGAAAACTCCCTTCTTGAACTGAGAGTTTCCCACAGACACAACTAAAATCAGTAAAGAAGAGGAAAGAAGGAGATATAAAAGGAAAAAAATGAGTGATGGCATGAGACCACTGGCCTATTGTGATTTTGATTATTTATTCTTTAGAAAGCCCTCAAATAATATCTATCTATATACTATAAATAGTTTTGTTGGGATATATTGACTTAATAGACAACTACATAGTTTCTCTTTTTTCAGATTTACATTTAAATAACTGACATTAAGTAATAAATGTTTTGCGGTTGTTACTATAGTCACAATTGATTGCAATGGCTTCCAAAAAAGGGAAATGCTGCAAGTTAGGAAAATGTGCTGTTTAAAATGCATGTCTATAGTACTTTGTATTTGTAATAAGATATGGGTTACAACTGTGTAATTAACTGACAGTCAATTATAAAGCTTGAAATTAAGTGAAGGCTGTTTATTTAACTGTTGCATTTTAGTATGTTTTTGTCGGGCAAATCAACAATAACATGGAGGGTGTGGAATCATAACCTCAGAAGTAGGGTCTAATCAGTATGCTGATCTGTGCCTCGGTTTTGTTCTCTTGAGTTATGTGCATTTTCCACTTTTGCGCCTAACAAAATCTCTGAAAAAATGTGAGAACAAACTTTCAGAATGTTCTTCACAAAATGAAAGGCCAGATCCACAGCTGTGTAAAGCAGCTTCATTGGAGCTACACCAATTTATACCACCTGAAGACCTTGCCCAGAATTTTCAAAGCATTCTACCTCTATTAATTACTAAAATAAAAGCAATAGTCCTTATCAAACCTAATTACATTCATTATTTTCTGAAGTCATAATGTGCATTCTATGTTCCTAATGGCATTTGGAAAAACTTAAAAACTGTGCAGAAACTTGAGGTCTTAGAGTATGGAGATCAAGGACTGATCTACAGAGGTGGATCCAAAGTCCAGCATTCACATAGGGCTTGTTGGCTTAGCAGCAGAGTAATGTTTTTTGGGAACACATTACAATAGCTAATGTGTACTATTCAGTTTGGCTTCAGAGAGAGAAGAAAGGTATTAGTGTGCAGGAGAAAAAGTGAACTTTTTGGATAGGCAGACTGTGACTGGAACCCTGGATGCAGAAAAAAAGCCCACCGTTGGATGCTATGTGCCTCCCTGCAGCAATATGTATAGTAAATACAATTTATTCTCATTGGTCTGATTCTACATACCTCACTCACATTAAGATGCATTTAGAAATGGAAGGAGTCACATTTTAAACCAATGGGACTCTTCATGTGAGTGATAAGAAGGGTCATGGTAAGCATGTGCCCCTTAGAGGTGGCTAATGACAATGTAAGGCAGTGGATGAGCTCTTCCCTGCCATCTGTTGATGAACTGGGGGAGAAGACCTCAGGAGCAGACTGTATTTGCATAGACACATCTACTTTGCCTCGGTGATCAGCTGGCAGCCCTACCTGGCCAAGGTGATCAACTTTGCCTGGTTTGTGTTAAAATTCACTTAAGTCTTGGATGAAGGAGTAATAAAATGTTATCTTTATTGCATGACTAAAGGGAAGCAAAATTGTTGCTGTACTGTCCCAAATTAATGCTGTGTTCCCTCTCCTCTTAATAAAAGTTTTCTTTTGTTATACACAAACTCAATGTTTGCAAGTAGGGAAGGAAGCATTGCCTTTTAGAGGCACCAGGTCTGCTGGTGTGTTTTTCCCAGGTTTTGGGGCAGGTGCTTGAGTTTTGTATTGTTAAGGGACCTGTAATAAATGACTAAGGAAGAGGTCCCTGCTAACTTTAAGATGTTGGTGTCAAATTCTGTTCATGTATACGTGCATGGGATTCCTGTTATAGTCAGTGGGAGGTGCAAACACCAGCACAAATAAAATTGAGGCATACTGATCTATGACAAGGCAGTTAATACTTTTGAATGACATTTCTGTAATCTATTTAATGCCATATACCTACTAAATTGACTTAAATGGAATTTGCACATTTGGATCCAAGTGCAAAATTTGGCCATTTGAACGTAAATCCTCACTTATACTCCAGCTCTACATTTTAACGGTTTCTTATCCCTACCTTTCTTAATTGTACCAGCACACTAGTTAGTTGCACTATATTTTATGGGGAAAAACCATAGTCAGACTATATTATTTTGTCTTAAGGATAAATTAAAGATTTTATTAGCAAGCAAGAAAGAAAAAAAGATCCAAAATTCTTCTCTTCACAAAGATGTTATCAGCTGCAGACATGCCTTTCAAATGCTCCAGCAGAATTTGATGTAATTTTTGTTAGTATGGTACCCATCATTGCTTTATGCTGAACAATTAAACTGGTTAAATACATTGGTTCCCTGCATATAAGGAAATGAAAAGTACACTCTCAGCAAGTTTGTTAGATTTAATTGAATTTAGAATGCACGCTAGAAATGAGGTCTCATTCCTTTTTCTAAATTAGTAGATCATAAGGTTAGCTTAAGCAGAGCTCAACTTTCATACAGTATTTGGATTATGTAGCATCACTTTTGAATGTCTTATTTTACTTTGTTTTTATAATTATAGAGTTTCTTGCCAGCATTTAAAAATGCTTTTATTTTGATTGATGCTGTTTTCTGAATGGCTCTCTTGATAGATTACATGTTTTTGAAGCCTACATTGTATGTGATCTAAAACAGGGATCTGAAAGAATAAATATATGTCTTTTGTGTCTCCTCAATCCCTCACCCAATGTAATGGGCCCTAACTAAAACCCCAGTTTCAAAATGCCCTGAAGTCCAGCATGATTGGATCCAGATCTGACAACATACATAGGCTGGCATACCCTCATATTTATAATAGATCCTACACAATTATCTCTCTTCCTGATCATTTGGCGGCAGATTTTGGTCAATGTGCATTATTAACTCCTACAGCCCTCATTAATATGACTGCCAGGGTTTCTTCCTGCACTCAGTGGCTCTAGTTAGTTGATACTGGCATAAAGACAAACAAAACCTCAGAAAAATGTCAAACAAGAGGCCAAGTGGAAAGCACAGCATCCCCTCTAAAATCAGTCAGTCCAGGAAAAGAATAATAGTTAAGCATTTCTCTCTTTCAGCCAAAGCCCTGGAGGTTAATAAAACACACAAATTGAGTCACTAAGAAGAATGCTCAACTAACCCTGAAGATTTTCAAAAGACACAAGATGAAGATCATCCCCATTTATTCTGCAACCATTCAGCACCCATATGATGAAATCAGTGGTTTGTATGAAAAGTTAAATCATCTTCTGGATGAAGGCTGGACATGGTTCAATAAGATTATAGGAGACTTCTAGACTGAAATTGATATAAAGACAAAGTTGAAAGAAAGAAAGAAAAGTGCACATTAAGTTGATGCACTAACTAGCCATTCACATTCTAAATGAAATACATTTGCTGGTAACATTCCTGTTCCCATTTATTCACTTTACAAAATCATCACACAATTTGCCACAATCCATCATGACTGGCAGCTTGTGCTCAGGTGGAGCCTGGAACTGCAAAGCTACTGTATAAAAGAAAGGTTGCATGGCACCTGCCTATATTCTGTCTCTTTCAAGCCACATTGCATAGTCTTTTATTTGACCAACCACTGAATTCATTCATAAAGCAAGAAAAATGTAAATAATAATGAAAAGACAAATGAAAGAACACCCTGAAAACTGGAATGGGACAAAGCACTTCAAACAGAAATTTTCTTTTGGAGTTTGTTGAAGGTAGAGGAACGATTAACATATTTTTAAAAAGAAATAACTACAAAAACAAAGAAGTCCACTGACTGAGACTTTGCAGGACTTATGAGAGAATCAGAGAACCTCTTCTTTGCTTCCTGCACAGCCTTTCCATAAGGATCCAAACAGTCTTTATGACACAATAAAGAAGCTTCAGCTTGAGATTTCTGCCACCTGCTCTCTAAGTTTCCTCCTGTTTTATTTGTTGCAGGACACCTGTAAACCCAGGCGATATGGGAACGGAGCCAGAGAAGGAGGCCTGTAGAAAGCACCCAACTGATGGCTGAAGATAAAAAGATGATTATAGAATCCTACCAAAAGCTCAATGGAGTGATCTGTCAAATAAACCATATCTTCACTCAGGACCTTCTGGAAGTACTCTCATTC